TCAAGCACCGTCGAGGTGCCTTTCAGGTAAAGCACCCTGTTGGTCAAGCACCGTCGAGGTGCCTTTCAGGTAAAGCACCCTGTTGGTCAAGCACCGTCGAGGTGCCTTTCAGGTAAAGCACCCTGTTGGTCAAGCACCGTCGAGGTGCCTTTCAGGTAAAGCACCCTGTTGGTCAAGCACCGTCGAGGTGCCTTTCAGGTAAAGCACCCTGTTGGTCAAGCACCGTCGAGGTGCCTTTCAGGTAAAGCACCCTGTTGGTCAAGCACCGTCGAGGTGCCTTTCAGGTAAAGCACCCTGTTGGTCAAGCACCGTCGAGGTGCCTTTCAGGTAAAGCACCCTGTTGGTCAAGCACCGTCGAGGTGCCTTTCAGGTAAAGCACCCTGTTGGTCAAGCACCGTCGAGGTGCCTTTCAGGTAAAGCACCCTGTTGGTCAAGCACCGTCGAGGTGCCTTTCAGGTAAAGCACCCTGTTGGTCAAGCACCGTCGAGGTGCCTTTCTGGTAAAGCACCCTGTTGGTCAAGCACCGTCGAGGTGCCTTTCAGGTAAAGCACCCTGTTGGTCAAGCACCGTCGAGGTGCCTTTCAGGTAAAGCACCCTGTTGGTCAAGCACCGTCGAGGTGCCTTTCAGGTAAAGCACCCTGTTGGTCAAGCACCGTCGAGGTGCCTTTCAGGTAAAGCACCCTGTTGGTCAAGCACCGTCGAGGTGCCTTTCAGGTAAAGCACCCTGTTGGTCAAGCACCGTCGAGGTGCCTTTCAGGTAAAGCACCCTGTTGGTCAAGCACCGTCGAGGTGCCTTTCAGGTAAAGCACCCTGTTGGTCAAGCACCGTCGAGGTGCCTTTCTGGTAAAGCACCCTGTTGGTCAAGCACCGTCGAGGTGCCTTTCAGGTAAAGCACCCTGTTGGTCAAGCACCGTCGAGGTGCTTTTCATGTAATCTGATGTTACCTCCCAGCTGTGACGGTGCTTGACAAACTCGATCTTGCTCGCTGTGGCCCGCGTGGCTGTGGCCATGCGTCTTGCTCGCTGTGGCCTGCGTCTCAAAGCGCAATCTTTGAGTCGACTCAAAACCCAGAGGCCTGTCCCCCCAATATCCTACCAACTCAATGTCATTTTTATAAGGTGCTTCACATTAGTTAGTAGCAGCTTGCTAGGAGGTTGCCTCCTTTGGTGTCATGCTCCCCTTTTACACCCAGTCAAAGTACTCGTTCTAGTATGACTCACAATATATATTTTCATCTCACCTGCGAGTTGAGTGCCTGGTCAGCAGGCACCTCAAGCCTTGCTTCACTCTTGCAGAACCGTAAGAGTCAAAATGTCATGCTTTCATTTTTCCTTCGCCATTGTACTCATTATAATTTGTCTCAGAACAGTTACTAGCAGCTCACCTGCGAGTTCAGCGGTTGGTCAGCAGGCACTTCATGCCCCGCCCCATGCAATACCACATGCGTCAGCATGTTATGTTCCCGCCAATACCCCGTCACCGTGCTATCCTCGCTATAACGATCCCCACAATACTAATCAGCAGCTCACCTGGGAGTTGAATGGCTGGTCAGCAGGCACCTCATGCCCCGCTCCATGCAACACCACATGCGTCAGCATGTCATGTTCCCGCCAATACCCTGCCACCTCCCCCTCCACCTCCCACAACCGCCTCTCCACCGCCCAGAACCGCTCCATACCCTTCCACTGTAACTCCCCCATCCACTCCAGCGAGCACGCGGCGCCGTCTTTAATGTCGTATATCCCCTGATATAGCAGCATCGGGACGCGGTTTAAGAGCCCTTCTACTAGGTGCATAGTGGATTTCATAGTGTCGTTAGACATATGCTTGCGCACGCGAGGGCTGCAGGAAACCCAGGTGACAGCCGCGTCGGCTTTAAGGACGTCTTTAATCTCCGGGCGGTTGAGGTATAGGGCGAGGTACTCCTGCTTGTCCTTGTTGTGGTGGTAGGCGCGGGTTCTTCGGATGTCCAAGGGCGTTGCAATGCCGCTCACGTTCTGAGAATGAAAAGAGGGCAGGGGAAGGAGGAAAGGGAGGGGGGAGGGGAAGGGAGGGGTAGTTGAGGTACAGCGCAAGGTACTCGTGGCGGTCCTTGTTGTGGTGGTAGGCGCGGGTTCTCCGAATGTCCAAGGGCGTTGCAATGCCGCTCACGTTCTGTGAATGAGAGGGGTGAGAGGGAGGGCACCAACGAGAGGGAGGGCACCAACGAGGGAGGGGAAGGGGGAGCGGGGATGGGGGTGGGAATATAAGAATAGCCAGCGATGGGTGGTGGAGGTTCAGTATGCCCTCTTTACTGCAATGAATCTTCTGATTTTTACCCCTACACCCGCCCTCGTTTTCCCCCGTTTCTTTTTGCAGGGAAAGAGGGAGAGGGGGGGGGGGGGGGGGGGGGGGGGGGGGGGAGGGGAGGGGGAAGGGAAGGGGGGAGCAAAGGGGAAAGGGGGGGGGAGGAAGGGGGGGGGGGGGGGGGGGGGGATTTAAGTTTCTGTTAGTCGGGGTTTAAGGTTACTACCTGCTCAAAACTTGAGAAAGCATAGAAAGCATTCCTTCACAGACATGGTTCCAGCGCCATCTGCAGCTGTTCGAACGAGTCCTTAGCAAATAAAACTTCACTGGACCTGAATCCAGTTGACGAGATTCCTCCATCCTGCAAAGCTTCCTGCCATTCTTTTACCAGAATTTGAGACATCTCTCTCTACATGAACCTGAATCTCTCTCCCTACCTGAATCCAGTTGACGAGGTTCGTCCGCTCTTGAAAAGCCTCCTGCCATTCCTCCTTATCAATATGCGCCACGACGCGATTCGCCCACTCCTTGGCCCTATCCCGCTGCTGCTGATCCAGCAACCCAGCGCTGTACGCGATATCAGCATGCGCCTGCACCTGCGTACGCGGATGCGTCAACCCGTTACCGATTATAACCCCGTCCAGCCGGAACGGATGCCTGTATCCGCCCTCGCCGTCGCGTTTGAATTTCAGACGCTGTCGTAACTGCTGCTGCGCCATATCCAGTTTCCCTACAAGGAGGGAGCCTAAAGCGGGGACATACTTTCCTGCGTAACTCTCCCCTGCCAAAAAGAACGGCCTCTGGCGAAATGGCGGGAAAAGGTCGAAGAACGATCGGAGCGCGGTGTACAGATCCCTTGCCACGTCATCCTGATCCAGAGGAATATCCTCATCTGAAGGAGCTACACTAAAACCCGTACCAACGGGGTTGTCTATAAAGAGGACACCGTAGCGACGGTTCCAGGGAGCGGGGTTGGACTCGATATCGAGCGATTCGGTAATTCGATAAGGGCCGAGTTCGTAGAAATTCCCGATCATGCTGGAACAACCGGGACCGCCTTGAAGCCAAAGAATGATTGGCGTATCGGATTGAGCCGTTTCGGGCTCCATCGCCTCGTAGTATGCGAAGTACATCTTCGCACCCGTGGTTTCGTTAACGATCAGGTAACCCGACGCACTAGGGAGAGCTTTTTTCGGGAAAGGTGCCAGGCTCTGATTTACGGTCTTGACTTCACTAGAGAGTTCTTCGCTTCTGGTGTAAGAAGCGAACGGTAACGCTGCCAACAGGAACCAAGCTAGCATCCTGAGGACGGAGGAGATTGAGAGAATCCTGGTATCCATGGCGAATCGCATGATCGATCCAAGAAACCTCATTCACCTCTGCTTGCGTAGAGGCACCAGTTTGCTTCACAAATGCACGGAGCAACTACAAAGGAGCAGGCGACGAGGAACGATGGAAGAAATATGAGGAAACAGGAAGCCCAAATTACTTCGAGGAACTCAAGTACCAGGCTCTAGCAAGCCTCTTAGAAGCCTGCACAAACGGGATTCTGTGGCTCGTATTGCTAGATCGAGCGTCGACAGCAGGGTTTGTGGGTGGCGGACAGGCGAATCCATCGTGTGAAGAAGCCTCGAGATTCCGCGACGCGTGATCAAGAGCACCAGCCGTTTCCTACTGGTTCTCGTCAGTCTGACGAAAGGTGGGGCTGAAGTGATGTGGACCGAGGCGCTAGGAGCAATATTCTCGAGGCAAGTTTCAGCTGAGCTTTGTTTTGGCGGGAAGACATCACCTAGGGGAATATTCGCTCGAAAGCTGCAAAAAGATTCCAACCTATTTTGGCTGCAGCGAGAAAGCAAACAGGCTGCTCATCGTAACTGAAAGTGGAAAAGAAAAATAGTGTAGCATACAAAATGATGATTGGGTCACTAGTTCAATCAGTCCTACCACTTGATTTCTCATTGATAAATTCAAGAGAGTAGAAAATGTACAGAAAAAGACACAAGCACCAGCCGGACTGGTAGACTGGTGGCCTTTGAACGAGACACTGTACAGTTGTCGCGACTCTTTGAAGCAAAGAGCAACTATCGCAAAAAAAAGGCAGCCCATTCAGTAAGTCCCCCTCGTGTGGCCTTACCTCCACAATTACAACAGTGTCATGCTACAGAAGCATCTCTATCTACCCTTCTCCCTCTTCTCCCTATATCTACCTCCACACACTGGACATCCGTTCTCCTCCACCACTCACAGCTCCTTCACACACCGCACCTCCACCAAATCCCCATCCCTGAGACACATGCTGGAATCCTCTGGCTTTCCATTCACGAGGATAGCCTTCTTTGCTGCACACAACAAAAGCATTTCTACTGTAAAAAGAAGCCAAGCCACCCACCTACAGCTCCTCAACACAGCGCACCTCCACCAGATCCCCATCCCTGAGGCGCGTGCTCGGATCCACCCGCTTCCCATTCACAAAGATAGACTCCTCTGCCGGGTACAGCACAGCAGCAGCAGCAGCATCTCTGTCAGAAGCAGTGGCAGCGCCGGCAGCAGCATCACCCACCTCATCATCAACTACAGCTCCCCCACACAGCGCACCTCCACCAGATCCCCATCTCTAAGCCGTGTGCTGGGATCCACCCGCTTCCCTTTCACAAAGATAGACTCCTCTGCCGGGCACAGCAGAGCAGCAGCAGCATCAACCACCTCATCATCACCTACAGCTCCCCCACATAGCGTACCTCCACCAGGTCCCCATCCCTGAGCCGTGTGCTCGGATCAACACGCTTCCCATTCACAAAGATAGACTCCTCTGCCGGGTACAGCAGAGCAGCAGCAGCATCAACCACCTCATCATCACCTACAGCTCCCCCACATAGCGTACCTCCACCAGATCCCCATCCCTGAGCCGTGTGCTCGGATCAACACGCTTCCCATTCACAAAGATAGACTCCTCTGCCGGGTACAGCAGAGCAGCAGCAGCATAAACCACCTCATCATCACCTACAGCTCCCCCACATAGCGTACCTCCACCAGATCCCCATCCCTGAGCCGTGTGCTCGGATCAACACGCTTCCCATTCACAAAGATAGACTCCTCTGCCGGGTACAGCAGAGCAGCAGCAGCATCACTGTCAGAAGCAGTGGAAGCGCCGGCAGCAGCATCACCCACCTGATCATCACCTACAGCTCCCCCACACAGCGCACCTCCACCAGATCCCCATCTCTAAGCCGTGTGCTGGGATCCACCCGCTTCCCATTCACAAAGATAGACTCCTCTGCCGGGCACAGCACCGCACTGGAAACGTCTCCATAGCCCCGGGCCCCACTAACGGCTCTAGAGCCCGAGGCAGAGGGAGTGGCGGTGGTGGGGGAGAGGGAGAGGCGCAGCCCGTCGGATGAGATGACTGCAGCCGCTGCTGCTGCATCCCCTGTGGCCGCCTTGGCTCGTAGGCGGGCAAAATCACCTGCCAGACTGCCAGCTGGTAAGCGCACTATCTCACCACCTGTAGGAACAGGCAAGGGAGGATTAGTGGATTGGAGAAGCTGATAGAGAGCGAAATATCACATACCAGCCAAGTTGCCTGGTGGTATGCACACTATCCCACGCTTTGTGGCAGTGGTGGCATGGCATGGGGTTCATGCACGAAGTTCAATCAACAACCATGTTGACTCGTAACAGATTCTTACCAGGCCAGCTTATAACGAGAACTTCACTGAGAGCAACAGCGTCCACTAGGCTGTCTTGTCCTGTCCCATCCCGCTCCCCTCCCATCTCATCCCCCTCCCCTCCACTGCTGCCACTGCCGCTGCTGCCACCACCACTGCTGCCACTGCCGCTGCTGCCACCACCACTGCTGCCAAAGCTGCTGCTGCTACTAGTGCTATCTATGCCAAGACCAGCCAGGGTGCCATCCGGTGCTGCCTCGTGCCGAACCTCCCGCTCCCATTGCAGCATGGACCGGAGAAGCCGAACCTGTGAGACAGGTCCGGGACAATCGCAAGAAACGAGAAAGGATAACAGGGATAGCAGGCATTGGACAAGGCAGAGACGAACTAGAAAAGATCAATGAAAGAGGCAGGCTTAGCGCCCACCTTGTCGTTGATGTGAGGTTGGAGAGAGCAAGGAAAAAAACAGACTCCAAAACCCACATTATACTTGATGTGAGGTTCGAGCGAACAAGGAATCGATAAGACTTAAAGCCCACCTTGTTGTTTATTCGTGCAGCAGACGAGAGTGGCGCCTCCTTCCCGTCAACCCCGCTGTTACCACTCGAGCTGCTAATGCCACCACTAGCCATGTTACTGTCTCCACCCACGCTAGTCGTGACATCAGCAGCAGTAGCAGCAATAGTGCTGGGTGTAAATGCCACCCATGGTTCGACGCCACCACCATCTACACCATCCATCCTCCTCTCCTCCTCTCGCTCCCTCTCTCGCTCCCTTTCTCGCTCCCTCACTTGCTCCCTCTCTCGCTCCCTTGCCACCAATTCCCTCCCCTCCACTCCTCTCGTCCACCCCCATATCCTCCCAAGGCCCCATTTCCACATCCCTCTCCCTCCATCCATCCTCTCCTCCTCACTCCCCTCCTCTCCCCCCCCACCTCTCCTCCTCCCCACTCTCCCCCTCCCCCAACCCTCCTATTCCTGCCGCAGCTAACCCCTCTATAAGCGCCACTGCTACAGTGGCTTCATAATCTACACTCTCTTCATCAGAAAGTTCTAAAAGCTGTATAAAAGTGGATTGCGCACGGCCGAATTGGTCCACTTTATGGTATATCCCATCACTGCATAACGAGTATTTCTCCAAAACGGTGCTCCAGTCCCCATGCCCAGGGGAATTCCACCAAGTATCCTTCACCCGCGCAAAAAGACGAACGTTCGCCGCCCACCGCTTCCCCTGCGGCCCGCTCCGGGCAGCCACGAGCGTATCTCGGGCAGGCAGGGAAAAACTCGACGCGACAAGAAGAGTGTTTCCAGAATTCTCCGAACTAACCACCACAGAGGTTAATAACTTCCCATCTTCTACCCTCAAGGCTGGATGCCCCTCCAATATCACTTTTCCATTAGGTAGCTGTATCTTAGCAAGCCGAGAAACTGAATTTTCCTGAACTCCCCCTGCTGCCTCCCCCTCTCCTTCCTCCTCCAAGTCACCCTCCACCTGATCCACCTCCCCCACATCAGACAAAACAGCTGCAGCCGGGGGTACAGTAGCCACAGGCACCACACCTGCATCCACCACCGGGGCTGTGGCAGGCTTGGGCCGAGCCTGAGCCTCCGAGCCTGTGCTGCTTCGAAGTGTAAATGCTGGTGTTTGATCTGGTTCGGATGACGGGGTAAGTGTTCCTGCTGGCATTGCTGCTGCTGCTGCTTGTGGCAGTGTTGCTGCTGGTGATGATGATGGTGATGGTAATGATACCGTTTCTATAGCAACACTTAGAGTGGAAGAATTAGCATCGGACTGGCTCTGCTGAATAAAATTTCTACGCAATTTGTCCTCCTGCTCCTCCTGCTCCTCCTGCTGCTGTTGCTGCTGCTGCAGCTGCTGCTGCTTCTCTATCTCCCCTTCCAAACCACTAGACCCCACTCTCACTGTTGCAGCATCTGTGCGCTCACTGCTGCTGCTAGTCGCCCTGCTGCTAGCAGCCATCCTCCCTTGCAGGCTCCTGTTGCTCTGCGTCCCTCCCCTGGAAGTCCCTTGAGAAATCTCCATACTCCCACTGTTGCTTGTGTTGCTCTGCGTCCCTCCCCTGGAAGTCCCTTGAGAAATCTCCATACTCCCACTGTTGCTTGTGTTGCTCTGCGTCCCCCCTTTGAAACTCCTTCCAACGATCTCCCCGCTTCCACTGTTGCTCCTGTTGCTCTGCGTCTCACCCTTAGAGCTCTCCCTCCCCCTGTTGCTCATCGTTCCCCCTTTGGAACCACTTCCAGTCATACCGCTGCTGGCAAACCCCTCAAACGGTTGCTTCTCAAAATCCGTGGCTGAACTCCCCTCTCTGCTCCTGTTGCTCATCGTTCCCCCTTTAGAGCCACTCACAGTCATACCGCTGCTACCAATGCCCTCGAACGGTTGGTTCTCAAAATCCGTGGCTGAAAACGGCTGGAACTTGCCTGTTGCACGCCTCCTCTCCCGACCGCTATCAGCGGCACCAGAAGCAGCAGCAGCATCAGAAGCAGCACCAGCAGAAGCAGAAGGGTCAGAAGGGGAAGGAGAGGAGAGGAAGGAGGATACTTTGGAGGAGACAGACGAGGTGAAGGAGGAGAGGAGAGAAGAGGAGGAGGAGGAGGAGGAGGAGGAGGAGGAGGAGGAGGAGGTTGAACCACCCTGCTGCTGCGGCTGCTGATTGCTGCCTGACTGTACAGGTGGCGCGTTCTCATTGGACGGCGATTCAGGTTCTGTAGAGGGGGCGGAGTCAGGAGTATCACTCTCCTTGTACAGCCAATGGGCTGCATGGCCGAACTCTGCATACTCGTGCATGGACTGGGGGGGGGGGGGGAGGGTGAAGGGAGGGAGGGGAGAAGCAGAAGGGGGTGGGAGGAAGGGAGCAGAGTATCACTCTCCTTGTACAGCCAATGAGCCACGTGCCCCAACTCTGCATACTCACGCATGGGCTGGGGGGGGTGAAGGCGAGGGGATAGGATGGGCAGGGGAGGCAGGAGAGGATAGATATATGGATACACCACCACGGAGTCAGGAGTGTCACTCCCCTTGAGGTGTGTTTTGACGTGCCTCAAAACACACCTCAGGGGAGGCAGGAGAGGATAGATATATGGATACACCACCCAAAGTCACGAGTGTCACTCTCCTTGTACAGCCAGTAAGCCGCATGCCCGAACTCGCCATACTCGTGCATGGACTGGGGGAGAGGGAGGGGGGAGACGGGGAGAATGAGCTCTCCTTGTAGGAAAGATGGACGGATATACTACCAGAGTCAGGAGTGTCACTCTCCTTGTACAGCCAGTGAGCTGCATGGCCGAACTCTGCATACTCGTGCATGGTCTGAGGAATTGATGGGAGGAAAACGAAGGTGGGGGGGGGGGAGAAAAAGAGAAGAGGCAGCATGAGAGACGAATGAAAGGGCACATTAGCGAAGTGATGGAGCTAAGAAAATAGGGAATTTATTCTTTTTAGCTTTTTTCACAAGGATTTAGGCAAAAAACAATGGATGCACAATGGGCCAGTAATAAACATGAAACTCACCTGAGTGCGGATCTGCACTTCCAAAGGTGCTCCGTCCGGTTTTTGAGGCGCCTCTATACTCGCACTTGCACTGCTACAACACAAGGCATCTCTTCCCAGTAATAAACATGAAACTCACCTGAGTGCGGATTTGCACTTCCAAAGGTGCTCCGTCCGGTTTTTTAGGTGCCTTTAATATCGCACTTGCACTACTGCGTTACAACGAGGCATTTGTTCACAAGGCCAGTAGTGAACATGAAACTCACCTGAGTGCGGATTTGCACCTCCAAAGGTGCTCCGTCCGGACCTCTGACAGCCGTGTGGAGTGACTGGTGAGAGAGGACAGAGATGGGGGAAAGAGGATGCAAAGGAGAGGAGTGAGTAGCGAATAAATTGTCTGATATGCTAAGAGTCGAATTGTCAGGGAATGATTGCAATAGCTGCATTCAATAAATCAATATTCCATTCTCGCATTGACGTGACAACTCAGCGTTACCTGGTAACCGCTCGGCTTGGGATTGAGGATGTAGTCGTCAAACTCTCCACCAATGGGAGTCCAGAGACTGGTTTGGGAGCAGGGGGGTTTCGGGAGAGGAGAAGGAGGGCAGAAAGGCGTGACAAGTGAGACGGCATCAGAGGTCGGAAGGGAAGGCAATAGAGCAGAGAGCAGAAATCTTGGAATAGGGGAAGACGGGCAGGAAGGCATGGAAATGGGAATGTGTGAGGGCGGCGGAAATGAAGGATATTGAGACAGCGGAGGAAGGGATAGAAGGCTTGGAAGGGAATGGCATGAGAGGAAGATAGGGGGGGCAAGAGAAAGGAAGGAAGAGCAAGAGAACGAAAATGAAGAATGAGCCCGGGAGCAAGGCTCCAGGGCCTTATATACTAGGGGAGAAGGGTATACCTCACAAGCTAACCTATCTCTCTCTCACCCGCTGGGTAAAGGTAAGATGAGAATAGAGATTACAAATGTAGGGGAGAAGGGTAGGCCTCACAAGTTAACCTCTCTCTCTCCCTCTCCCTCTCCATCTCCCTCTTCTTCTCCTTCTCCCCCTCCCTCTCCCTCTCCCCGTATCTCTCCATCTTCCCCTGCTTCTTATCATCTCCAATTGACATCTTCTAATCCTCATTCTCATTTGCACCTTCCTCTGTGCCTTCGCTTGCACCATCATCACCTGATCATATCTCCCCTTCCTCACTTTCTTCCTCTTCGTTTCCTCTCTTTCCATCCTGCATACTCTCTACACTAACCTCCTCACCTCCTCCCTTTAACACCCCACCCCTTCCTCTCCCAACTCCACCGCAGGTCCTTGCACCCAGTACACTTGCATCACCACTACAAAATCCTCCGAGCGTAAGGGTAAGAAGGAGAGCAAAGGGGATTTTGTAGTGGTGATGAGAGTGTACTGGGTGCAGGGACCTACGGTGGAATTGGAAGAGGAAGTAGTGGGGTGAGGAAAGGAGGAGGTGAGGAGGTTGGTGTAGAGGGTACGCAGGAGGGAAAGAGAAGAAACGAAGAGGAAGAAAAGGGAGGAAGGGGAGATCCGATCGGATGATGATGGTGCAAACGAAGGCGCAGAGGAAGGCGCAAATGAGGATGAGCATCAAAAGATGTCGATTGGAAATGATCAGAAGCAGTGGGGGATGGAGAGAGAAGGGGAGGGAGACCTGTGCACATGGATTAGACCCACCCACCTGTGCACCACGCTGAGCAGGTTGTAACAAGCTTCCACTGCCGCCTCGTGCTGCGTCCCGTTAGCATCCCCCACCACCACCCGCAGCGCCCGTGCGTCGTAGATTTTGTCGAGAGGCACGCGCTTGCGCCGCATCTTGGCGTGGCAGCTGTACATGCTCTTAAGGCGGCCGGAGAGGACCACCTCCATCCCTGGCACATAGCTGCATTAGGGGGTGGGGGAGTTGGGGACAGAGCACAGTGCATCTTGGCATGGCAGCTGTACATGCTCTTGAGGCGACCGGAGAGGACCACCTCCATCCCTGGCACATAGCTGCACTAGCGCACTCCTAGTTCCACGATAAGCACACTCACGGGGTGGTGATAAGCAGCTCTCGCTGCAGTGCCTCCTCGCAGCCATGCAACGCCGTGAGAGCCACCTCTGCATCACGCATCACCCCCACTGCTTGCTTGCAGCCCCACTAGCCCCATTAGCCCCACCACTACTAGCAGCACTCACGGGGTTGTTATAAGGAGCTCTCGCTGCAGCGCCTCCTCGCAGCCGTGCAGAGCCGTGAGCGCCACCTCTGCATCGCGCATCACCCTCGTCCTCCTCCTCCTCACACCCCCCCCACTCACTGTGCCACTTGTGGTGCCATTTGCAGCAACACTCGCACCACCACCACTACCCGCACCACTGGAACCACCGGTTGTACCATCAGTAGCACTTGTTCCACTGCCGGGGGCAGCAGCACCAGCACCAGTAGCAGCCCTACCAGCAGCAGCAGGCCAAGCCACTGCCCTGCTCCGCCTGTTCCTATCCGCCAGCAGATCGAACGGCACAACCGCTTCGATCAAATCCCGAACCGACGGCTCTGATTCCCCCTCCTCCCCCTCCTCGTCCCTCGCGCCCTGTAGCAGCTTGCCACCTGGCACGGCGTCCAGTACTGCTCCCTCCGCTGCAGCCACCATGGATAGGAACTCATTCGCTATAAGCACACCGCTGCTCTTGGCACCTTTTGTGAGACTGTTTCCTTGAGTGGAACCTTTTCCCTGCATGGTGCCACTGCTCCCTTTTCCTTTCTGAGTGCCGCCGCTGGTGGTGGTGCCTTTCTTGGTGCCGCCTTTCTCTGCCGATCCTGCGTGTGTGATGAAGTGAATCAGCCCTTTCTCAGGTTCATCCCTGGGGGATTCACTCTCTGGTGTTTGCTGCTGCGTGATTGGAGCAGCACCATCCATCCCTGCGGCTCTGCTGCTGCCGCTGCTGCGACTGCTGCCACTGCTGGAGCTGCTGCTGCTAGTGCTAGTGCTGCTGGTGATACTGCCACTTGCACTGCCGCTGCTGCTGCTGCTGGTGCTGCCCCCTCCACTCAGCGACCCACCTCTGTCCACCCGCCGCCCAAAACCAAAAAACTCCGAGTCACCCCCACTCCCACCTTCGCTGTCGCTGTCACTGTCACTATCCATGCCGCTACGGTGGTATGCAGACACGCTGCTGTCCCCAGCAGGAATCGCAGCAGCAACACCACCATCTGCAGCATCAGCAGCAGCACTATCACCAGAAGCACTCCCAGCAGCGGCAGCAGCAGGGGGGCGGGCAGGGCGGCGGCGGAGGCGCAGGCGCTCTCTCAGCGACCGCCAGTCCTCAGGGGAGCTCCACATGGTGGCCAGCTCGCCTCTCAGCTGTCGGAATATACGTGGCTGGAGTGGGGTTCAGTGCGGTTGGGGGAAGAGTGGGAAGGGGCGTGAGGAATACGCATCTACCTTCTCTCAGCGACCGCCAGTCCTCCGGGGAGCTCCACATGGTGGCCAGCTCGCCTCCCAGCTGGCGAAATATGCGCGGCTGGAGTGGGGTTGAGTGCGGTAAGGGAAGGAGCAGGAAGGGTTGTGAGGAATAGAGATTTCCCTTCCCTCTGAGTGACCGCCAGTCCTCAGGAGAGCTCCACATGGTGGCCAGCTCGCCCCGCAATTGGCGGAATATGCGCGGCTGGGGGGGTGATTTAGGGGGAAAGGGGGAAAGGAGGCAGGGGAAGGGGCGCAGGCGCTTCTCAGCAACTGCCAGTCCTCCGGGGAGCTCCACATGGTGGCCAGCTCGCTTCAAGGCGTGAGGCGAAACGAGAGACCCGAGTGCTAAGTCACCCTTGCATAGTCACACACAGACACGCACAGACCCACACAGACCCCACCCCAGCTGCTACGGACATTTTGAGTCGACTCAAAAGTCAACGAGAGACACGGACTGACTCCTAAGTCACCCTTGCATAGTCACACGCACAGACCCCAGCTGCTACGGACAGTCACCTCTTTGTGTAGCAAGCCGCGCTCACCTCCAGCACCGCAAAGCAGAGGTCCTCCAGCTCGGCTTTCATGGGCCACGCCACACACCGAGGCGAGCAAAGGAGGGCGAGCAGATAGGTGCTTCGCCTGACTCACAGTATAAGATTTACTAAGCACGCTCACCTCCAGCACCGCAAAGCAGAGGTCCTCCAGCTCGGCTTTCATGGGCCACACACCGAGGCACAAACACAGAGAGGGAGGCAGGTGTGTAACAAGATATGAACCCAAGACAAACTCACCTCCAGCACCGCGAAGCATAAGTCTTCTAGCTCTGATTTCACAACCCACACACCGAGGCACACACACAGAGAGAGGCAGCTCATGGTTATCATCCCAACCCAAGACATACTCACCTCCAGCACCGCGAAGCATAAGTCTTCTAGCTCTGATTTCACAACCCACACACCGAGGCACACACACAGAGAGAGGCAGCTCATGGTTATCATCCCACCCCAAGACATACTCACCTCCAGCACCGCGAAGCATAAGTCTTCTAGCTCTGCTTTCACGGCCCACACACCGAGGCGAGAGGCGAGGGAGCACCAGACAGACAGCGTCTCCTGTGCCACTGCCCGTGCCTTGCTGTCCTTCAGTGCGTAGCTGGGAGGGGGAGAGGGGAGGAGGAAGCAGCCGCAGAGAATACGAGAGAATGGGCAACAGGCAGAATAGAGAGGCCAGGGAGCACCAGATGGAAAGTGTCTCCTGTGCCACTGCCCGTGCCTTGCTGTCCTTCAGTGCGTAGCTGGGGGACGGGGGAGAAGGAAGGGGACAGAAGTAGAAGAAGGGTGAAAGCAGTTAAGGGTGAGAAACAAGAAAGGGTGAAAGCAGTAAAGGGTGAGAAACAAGAAAGGGTGAAAGCAGTTAAGGGTGAGAAACAAGAAAGGGTGAAAGCAGTAAAGGCGCGCGCGCGGACCATGGTGCGCGTGTGGACCAAGGCGCGCGCGTGGACCAAGGCGCGCGCGTGGACCAAGGCGCGCGCGTCTTTGGACCAAGGCGTGGACCAAGTCGCGCGCGCTTTTTACTCCGTGTGCTTCCCTCCCCCCTCACCCAGCTCACGCCCTCCCCCTCCACCCCCTCCCCCTCTTCCCATCCCTTCTTCCTGTGCAACAGAATAATCCAGTCCCAGGAGTGCAGATATTTCTTTTCTCTGATCCACCCTAACCCACCCCAACCCACCCCACTCCACTCCACATCACGCATGCATGCACGCGCTCTCGTGAGCGCGCGTTTGCGCGCACACACACGCACATACATACACACAAACCCTGGTGCGCATGTTGTGCAATATGTCAGCTAGCTTTATGAGCACCACCTGTAAATCGTTCACCATGCCCACCACCATGCCCACATGCTTACACACTGGGGTAACATGGTATTTTCATATGCTGCACTGCACTGCACATGCGTCACTCACACACACTCACATGGTGCGCATGATGTGCAGCCTGTCCTGTCTGCCAGCTTTATCAGCACCACCACTCGAGGGTCATCACCCTGTGACCATGCCCAGGTGCCTCTACGTATGAGTCACATGGACTTCTCACATGCTTCAATTGAGTCACTCACTCACAGGCTTCATTTGTATCACATGTAAACACTCACATGGTGCGCATGTTGTGCAGCCTGTCCGCCAGCTTGATAAGAACCACTCGAGGGTCGTTCACCATGCCTAGCAGCATCATCCTCAGGCTGTCCACCTGGTCATGGCATGTGATTATAACGAGAGGCGGAGCGGGAGGGGAATGGCAAGAGGGGATAGAGGGAGGGTGGTGGATGGACGGGAAGAATATTGAGAAGGGACAGGGGAAAGGGGAGGAATGGGGGATGGATGAGGAATGGAGGGTGGAAATGAGGGGGGATGGATGGAGAGCAGGTGAGAGGGCGAGGAAACGAGGAGGGGGGGCATGGAGATGCAATCATTGACCTAATTCTATCCACACGTCATCCATCATTAGAGAACTACTGAGCTTCAAACTGCAAGAAGTAACGCCATACTAGAACATTTCACGTGCCAAAAGAAACACTTACACCAGATGAAGAAAACACTCACATCAGCTGAACTGAGCCCTGTGTTCTCCTGTGCTCTCTGCTCTGCCGTTGCCCTGCGGTGCCGGCGCAACAACTGCACCAGGGGCAGCGCCGAAAGTAGGGGTTGTGGGAGGGGGAAATGATGGGAGAGAGAAGAAAGAAGACGGCAGAGTCCTGTGTAAGAGCAGCCGCAGGGGAGCTATGGTGAGTGGGAGTGAGTGGAACGAAGATGGGGCCGGTACCAGAAGGTAAGGGGAGGTCGCACGGAGGAAGAAGCGTGGAAGATGGAGGTAGGGTCAGTGGGAATGCATGGGACTTGGGGAAAGGGGAAAGGGGACAGTGAGGGCAAGGGAGGGACAACGGTGGGGGGAGGAGTGAGGAGTTGGGGCCAGATCAATTAGGATGCTGAGTCAAGGATAAGGTGCGTTGCAGCATGCCTGGTTGATATGGCTGAGGCGAGACACGCCATCCACCAGCTGTGCCACGTCAGCACCGAAGAGCATTTCCACGTCAGCAATGTCGTAGGGCGTGTCATCCACAATGTCATGCAGCACTGCTGCCACCACAGCATCCACTGCCTGGAGGTTGAGAGGGAGGAGGAGAGATGAACAGGGGAGGAGCTTTGATTGTTGGCTTGAATACGTAAACCTGCAAGAATGGGCATGTCACCCACGATGCCATGCAGCACTGCTGCCACCACCGCATCCACTGCCTGGAGAGGAGGAGAAGGGAGAGATGGGGGAGGAGTTCTGAGTGCTTTCTTGAATACCTAACCCGCCAAAAGCATCTAATGCAGCACTGCTGCCACCACAGCATCCACCGCCTGGAGGTGAGGAGAAGAGGGATGAGAAAGGTTTTTTTTTGGCTCTTGTTTTACTACGCTTCAATCAACCTGAAAGTGTTTCATGCAGCACTGCTGCTGCCACAGCATCCACTGACTGGAGAGGAGGAGAGAGGGATGGGGGAGGGGAGCAGATGCGGATGGAGTTTTGAGAAACTTACGGGACAACTCATCCACAATGGCATGCAGCACTGCTGCCACCACCGCATCCACCGCCTGGAGGTGAGGAGAGAAAGATGGGGAAGGATTTTTTTGTTTTTTTTCCAGATTTTTTAAATTGGACACTTGAACCTGAAAGTGTGTCATCTGCTTGCCCTGGGGCGGCACCAGTGCAGCGAGGATACGAGCGGTGTGCAGGCAGTGGTTGACGTATGGCTCGCCTGTCTTGTGGTACTGGTCCCAGTGCGCATCCCTGGCAGCTCGCAGCACAGCACAAACCACAGAGAACCACCCACACAGAGCCACAATGGTCCCAGTGCGCATCCCTGGCGAACTCAACAGCCCGCACACATGACCACACAGAGCCACACCCACATACACACCTTTTTGCCCTGAGGAGGCACCAGAGCTGCCAGGATGCGAGCGGTGTGCACGCAGTGGTTGACATACGGCTCGCCTGTCTTGCGGTACTGGTCCCAGTGAGCGTCCCTGGCAGCTCGCACACAGCACCACACAGAACCGCTCAAAACCACGCACACACCTTCTTGCCCTGGGGTGGCACCAGAGCAGCCAGTATCCGCGCAGTGTGCACGCAGTGGTTGACGTACGGCTCGCCTGTCTTGCGGTACTGGTCCCAGTGCGCATCCCTGGCGAACTCAACTGCTCGCAGCACCTCTGGGTGCCTGAAGATGGGGTAATCTGTGACGTCCACTGACTCGATGATCAACGGCTCTGATCAACGCCACAGATTCGGGACACGCGTGGGGAGGGGAGCAAGGAGAAAGGGACGAACAAACAATGGAGGGAGTGGAGTGGATGAAATGAAAAGTGAAAACGGAAGGACGATTTGTGGGGAGGATGAAACTGGGGGTAGAGGCAAAGGTAATCAGACACAAGTAAGAATCACCCCGGTCTGTTACCTGTTTTTGGCGGCTGTTTCTGCCGTCCCAGCAGGTTATCTGACAGGTAAGCTCCGTATATGGCTGCTAGCGCCGTCACTGCTACAGGCGTCACGGCTGTAGCAGGAATCGCCAGATGCCCCGCGTGAGCTGGCAGCCCGCTATTGGCTGCGGCTGTAGCGGCTGTACCTCCTGCTGTAGCCGCAGCTGCCACGAGCTCGCTCAGCACCGCCACGGGCAGGCTTCGTGCCACGTGGCGGGCCAGGGATGGCTGAGGCCGGTCAGGGGTCTGGGAACGGGCAGCAGATAAAGCTGTGGCGGTTGAGGCCGAAGCAGCTCCCCCAGCGGAACTCCCCCCTCCCCCATTCCCCGCCCCCAGCGCACCAGTTTCCCCCAAACCTAGAGAACTCCTTGGTTGTGGACCGATAGCTGCCGGAGCTACCCCGAGCCTGCAGGTTCGGCCACCGAACCTGGGCTGGAGCGAGGACGGGAGTAGCGACGGCCGATCCGAACCCTGCTGGTTGGTGGAAGCACGTGCTTGGGCGGTGACGTGGCAGCGAACACGCGCTCCTAGTGGCCGGAACGGCATCGGGCTTGCCGCTGAGCCAGTCTGAGAGTCTAGTAACAAGCGGTCGTGTTTTTCGCTACAGCCGAGAAATGGCGAGGGAACGGACAGTTTCTTCCAACCCGCTACGGATTCGCATTTGCGAGCTGTAGATTCGCGGACTGTAGATTCTCGTAATGTATACTGACGCGATGCGCGAAATGTGCTGTCAGGAGAGGGGTTACTGACAGTCAATTGCGGCCGTCCTGAGCCGGACGTGACAAATCTGAAACCCGCTATGGTGTCGCTGGTTCTAGCTGTAGTATTAGCAGCTACTACACTCTGTCCGCGATAAGGAGAAGTCGAGTGATGACGAGCGGCGGATTGGCGCGGCGAGATTCGGATGTCAGAAAAGGCACGAGGAGACGAGGAACGAGGTCCAGAGGAGGTCGTAGTGCAAGTACTATTTAACGAACTTGAGAATGAAGTAGATGTTGGATTAGAGAGACCACAGGGATTGGAGGAACTAGAGGGGACGACCTTACTGTAAGGATTTGTCACTAAAAGACCAGAGGCAGTAGTGGCATGGTTAAAAGACTCCATAAAAGAAGACAAACGGAGCCGTGCAGGACTGTAACCTGACCTTTCCCTAATGTTTTTCACGTTTACGCGACCCCTTCACGCTTCTGCCTCTAACGGGTATGAAGCTGTGAAGACCGCTTCATGAAACGGCATGGGAATCAGTGGGAGGCTTCAAGGAGTATGAGGAAGGTACGAACATTCACGGGAAGACTATAGTAGCAGACGCTTTAGCGCTTGACCATACCGTCAAACGCGGAGAGGCGAATGGACAGCGCTTAAGACTTGAGCAGTGTTGGGTAAGCTGACCTCCAGGGATGCTAGCCTGAAAGAATGTGGGACAGGCTCATGGGACACAATCAGGTGTGCCAGTCCGCGTTCGCCGCATCCGTTTCGTCTCCAGAACAATCGCTTCTCAGCCGTGGTCGTACTCAACACTCCCCCTCAAAATGAACTTCACTGCCAAATAATTGTCCTCGATGATAAATAAAAGGATCTGAAAGTCTACCACGTTTGACGCTTTCATAAGTAAATCCGATTCAGAACAAGACCGAAACAATGAGCTTACGGAGTTCTCAAGCGTCTGATGGTGTGTGACCCGTGCGACCCCGAACGAAGCTGGAGAAGCGATTTGTGTTGCGTGTGCGACAACGTGGTAATTCTTTTACTTCACAGTGATTGGCTATCCATCTCGTTTGGGAAGGTGTGGTATGTGATGAGATTGGTTGCTCACTGCGCGGCCAGCTTCCCGATTGGTGCAATCTCGTTACTGAGGTGTTCGCCCGAATCTGTGGCATTCATTCCTTGTACAAGTACAATCCGCGTGGAGGGTGTGGAAAACTGCTCTTGTAGAGGCCATCAAACATTTTGGACCGTCTTACAACGTTGAAGAGTGAAATTAGTATGACTACGACAAGGTTTGGTTGTGATAAAACATCATATGCATTTGACCATAATCAAGCCCTTTCAAATGCCAAAGCCACTCTTGCAACATTGGAGAGCTATAAATGTAGTCCCTCTTTTTACTCACGCAGCGGACCATTTTACGGCCGTTCCAACTTCCACCCAGCACAGGGCTGACGCTATCAGAGTAAATAGTCTGATTAGTCTGACGGATCAGACCATCGAATTTGTGAAAAATGGAATTCCTGAGTAGTCAAAATTTCATCACTGAGAGCCTCAGAGTTATTGTTTTATGGCCCCTGATTCAGTGTACTAGGCCTAAGAGTGAGTCATTTCTGGAGTCTGTCACTACAGAGTATGCGTTTTGTGGTCCCTGCATGCGAGTTTATCGGGAGAAAGCTTCCTCGAAATTTCCTTTTGATACACCCACCTCCGAGGTGGCAGCAAATGCCAACACGTGAGCAAAGCACACAGCACCTGCTGCAATATCTGAATACACTCTATCTGTGGCAGTATCACGCAGGTTGAATTGTGTCCCACAGTGGGTTAACCGTTGAAGCGGGCGAGAAAAAGAAGCCCAATAGTGATGTCTTAGCGGATAGCACAACAAATCGGCGAAACGGTGGGAGACGATATCTTGCCACAGGTAATGTATCGCACTTTTTGGTGCGGAAATCGAAAATTTCTCCGCACCACAGCACTTGAAATAAACTGTTCCTGATTCCTAGGTTGAAAAATTATGTTGCAGAGGCACCGGCAGATTCTCGCGCGCCAAGTGGTGGTTTGTGTTTTGTGCCAGCTCAGCTGCGTGACAGGTCGCCCAGTTGGCACTTGCAAAGTTGCGCCAAATCGAGCCAATGTCGCAACAGTCCTTCTCGCCCTTGAAGCTCACCGACAAACCAGAAGGAAAAAAAAAAAAAAAAAAAAAAAAAAAAAAAAAAACCGCGACTCTGAAGTCATTTCCTCAACACTGAAGGACCAGAGTTGTGTTTTTTTCAACCCTGATTTCTTTTAACACGCTCATAGTGGCCATTTTGCGGCCGAAGTGCCGTCAGAGAAGAAAAAATAATTGCGGGTCAAAAACAAGGAGGCGTTTTTTGAAACGTCAGCCCTGACCCAGCATCACTCCATCCCTCCTCCCAAACCCTGGTTTATGGTCTACGACTACCAGTGGGAGTTGCTGGAACCATATCGTCACTGCAAGAAGCCCAGAAGCACTTGTGGTTGGGCGGCGGGAGGACCAATGTCACTCTATGCGCAACGAAATTTCTCGTCACCCCCGCATTCGGCACGCTCAGCAACGTCGTGCTTCTCGGCATAACCGACTGGAAATACACTCAATTCGGCTCAGTAGTCTTGTTCACCGGCATGTTCTGGTTAATAGTCGGAAAGAGGGTGCCCGGAGCAGCATTCAGGAGCTGCTGTGCAGTGTAACACCCCTTGAGAATGAGGCCACGAAGTACCTGTCGCTTCTGCCTTGGCTCTAGAATGTCCCACCAGGCTTCAGAGCGCCAGTAGCCAACGTTGGTGGGGACGAGGATGGTTTGTTAAGAACTAAGGCAAGAATTAGTTGATTAGGTGAAGGGTTGGGTACAAGACTAGGGTATCGAGAAAGTTTTGTGTACCCCCTGGGGCTATCCCCAATATAGCCTAGATAATGATATGCATATCTTTGACACACCCCCATAGGCGAAATGGGGGATAGCCAGAGCAAGCAACGGCCACAAGGCCAGTCCACATGCAGAGGTATATAAGCAACAAGAACAGAACAGTGATCTCAAGCTAGAAAGAGCATGCATGCAGGTACATATATAGATCACAGTACAAGCAGAGACTACAGCAAGTGTGGAAACGTAGACACAAGGCCCAACAAAGTACAAAAGCGCTGATGGTCACCAGACGGAAGTGCCTTGGTGAATATATCAGCACTGTTGGCCCGAGTGGCCACGTGAGCAAGACGAAGCTGACCACGCTGCTGCAACTCTCGAGCCAGGAAGTAACGCAGAGCGATGTGCTTCGTTCTGTGCTCAAGTCTGTGCTACTGACACAAGGCAATGGCAGCCTTGTTGTCTACGTACACAACTGGAGGAGAACGAGGCGGCTCTCCCAGGCCGGTCAGCAGGTAGGTGAGCCAGCGTAACTCCTGTGCAGCCATGGCAGCAGCGTAGATCTCAGCCTCACAACTTGAGCTGAGAACAGAAGACGAGCGTGTAGACCGCCAAGAAACAGAGCCGGAGCCAAGGCTGAACGTGTAACCCTATGACGACCGCTGTGTAGCCTGGTCATCAACCCAAGAAGCGTCTGAGTGCCCAGTGAGGACAACTGGACTCTGGCCTCCAAGCACGAGCCCCAAGCCCGATGTACTGCACAAGTAGCGCAGTACCCTCTTAGCAGCATCCATGTGCACCTTTCGGTGCCGACTAGGAGCTACGTAGCGAGCCAGAAGGCCAAGAGGGTACGCAAGGTCAGGACGAGTGCAGGTCATCAGGTACATGAGGCAGCCCACTAGCTCTGGGTAAGGACCACTCGGCTCTACGGAATCGTCCGAAGGTGGAGCTGAGAGCGAGTGACCTGTAGCCAGAGGAGTGGCCTGTGCCGAGGACCAGGTGAAGCCGAAGCGCTGAAGGACCTGCTGCACCATGTGTGACTGAGTCAGTGTGATGGTGCGACATGCTCTTTCCCGGGTGATCTGCAAGCCAAGTTAGCTGCGCAGCTCACCCAGGTCTGTGCACGTGGGTCTCTTCTGCAGCTCCGACTTCACCAGGGCAAGAGCCTTAGTGTCAACAGTGGCAAAGACCAAGTCGTCGACATACACGAGGATGTAGAACGGCGACAGCGAAGTGTCGGTGCGCAGAAACAGCGACGGGTCATTAGTCGAAGGAGCAAACCCAAGAGCCGCAAGTGTCGTCCTCAGTGTGTCGTGCCACTCACGTGGCGCCTGGCGGAGACCATAGACCAGCCGCCGGAGGCTCCACTGTGTACCAGGGGGGAACCACCCAGTGAAGCCGGGTGGGCGGCGCAGCCAAATCTCCTCGTGCAGGTTGCCGTGCAAGAAAGCTGTGCTCAAGTCAAGAGAGTGAAGCTCGTAGTCACGCTGAGCGGCAACGTGCAGCAGCACCCGCAGAGTGGTCATCTTCGGGGTGGGGGAGAAAGTCTGGAAGAATTCAACTCCATCTCGCTGACTGAAACCTCGAGCAACGTAACGAGCCTTGAAGACAGGCGGAGAACCTGGCGGCCGCTTTACCCTGAAGATCCACATGCCACTGACGATGTTCGCCCCAGGAGGGGGAACGTGGTTGACGTACGTGTCTGTGAACTTCCAGGATGCCATCTCTGCGTCCATTGCTGTCTGCCACTGAAAGGATTACTCACCCGCGTTTGCCTCAGCGTATGAGCGCGGGGTGGGGATGTCTGGTGCATCCGGGTCTCCCTCAGGGGCAAGCAGCATGGCCACAAGATGAGGCGCAGCGGCCGCAAGACACTCAAGCTCCTCGTGCCTTTCCTCAAGGACGTCCGTGCTAAGAGCACACTCACCCCCGACAGACGGAGGACAGACAGACTCA